TCCAATTGTTTACCAGCGAAAATCAATCTTTGCTGGTCTGGTGGAATACCCTCCTTGTCCTGGATCTTGGACTTGACGTTGTCAATGGTGTCAGAGGATTCAACCTGCGTTTGAGTGTTAGTACACGTGGGTCAGATGCAGAAATGTAAACACCAGAGCGGCAACACGAAAATACCCCCATACCAAAGCCATCTCCACCTACAACACCAAGCATTAACCATCAGTGATGAGGCTTGTGTCAAAGCGTCATTTCACCCTTATTTCCAACAGCCGCCGCTGCCATTGTTCACATCAACAGCACTCGATTGATGCGTAGCGATAAGGGAAAAAACAAAAAACTGACACAAAAAGGAGAGCAAAAGATAAGAGAATAAACGTGTTTCAGCGTGTGTTAACAGTGGACATAACTCACCTCCAAAGTGATGGTCTTACCGGTCAATGTCTTCACAAAGATTTGCATTGTGTTCAATGATGTTTTTCCGCTGTAGCGTTGATAAACAAACTAGAAAAGGAGAAAAAGGGGGTTTAAAAGAGAGAGGCAAAAGCATAAAAAATATGTTGTTTTTGCCCCTTTTTATAATTTGCCGCCTCACCGCTGTTTGTGGCAAAAACAGAAACAATGAAAATCGCCGAAAGAGGAAGTATTCCAGATAGGGGTAAAATAAAAAGAAACGTTGGTTGTAAATCAACTTGGACTAAACAGCTAACAATGCTTGGGTTGTTTGTTTGTTTACAACTGTGTCTATGTTCATTACAACTCCATTATGGTAGGTTATATAGTTCGCGCTTCTCCTCAGCAATGATGGCACAACTTCTGAGTCACTCTTCAACGATGTTTTCGAGTGATTTTAACACGTCGTTGTCTCTATAGCTCTTAGATGAACCATCTCTAGACATGTCGAGACTGTGAGCGCGTTTCGTGATCTCGTGGACAATTGTATCGTTACCGTTCATACCTTCTAGGCTTATGGCCCCGTCTGTGTCGTGGAAATTCCCAGCTCTGTTCAAATCCAGTGAGTTTCTGACATCTACAGAAGGTCGAGACATGCTCGACCTGAAGGAGTGGAACTTGGTTCTCTTCTCCTCCAGCAGAGCGGGATCCTTCAGCAGCATGGTAATAGTCCTGGACTTCTGCCTTATCTGGTGCGCAATTTCATCGTGGTCCTTGAGTTGGAATTCCTTCAGAGTGGAGATCAAGTACTGGTTACTCTTCATCCAGTTGACGAACCCGGTTGACCCCGTCACCAGGCAGTACTGAATCACAGTGAGTGACTTTAATACGTGTCTCCAGTTACGTGAATTATCGTTGAGCCTCTTGGCCAGAATCACGGTGATGTCTCTCAGCGGTTTATCGTTATGCGTGAGCAATGCCAGCTCGTTCAACTCCTGGGTCGTTGGGCCGAAGGAGTCATTCGAAGTTGCACTCTTTATCTTTATTTCTGTCTGAGAGTTATTTATACTCCGTAGTTTTCGTACTAGTCTTCTTGACATGGATACAGCCCACTAACCTCGATGTATACACGGTGTTTTTTGCTTGTCCTCCTGCTGAAGTTGGAGAAAGTATACAAGTTTCCAAATTGAGAGATTTAAATTCGTGAAATTTTTGGCCCTTTGACACGCAGCACTGCGTCTAGATGGTTGTGTCTCTATTTGATGCTTTATCGAATGGAATAGGTGATTGGCAGGGTGGTTCAAGGATGTTTAAACCACTCCTTCCATTGGCCATAGGGGGCAGGTGCGGCTAATCGGATGGAGCCGTT